CGCGTTTTTTTTTTTTTTTTTTAATCTTGAACTACCGCTCGTTGTGCACTTGACAACAAGATGGAGCGGCAGAAAAAAAAGCTACCCGGGGCGCAAAACAGAAAAAGGAAGTCACTTGACATTGCAAGCAAAATAGCCATCGAAATGGATGCTTCTCCTAAGTTCAAAGAGAAACGACTTAGGAAGCAAAAGAATTTCCCAGATGACAATTCATGCACTGGTCATCATGAAAAGGAACCCACAAGGCACTTCAGGTGCATGGTTTTCAATGTTATTGTTGACACACTCCTCCAAGAGCTGTCTGAGAGGTTTTCCAATTTTCAACTTGTGTCTGAGAAATTTAAATTCATCACTAAAATGGAGCACATGACAAAAGCTGAGCTGGAGGAATCAGTGACCACATATGCCCTGACCACTTGTGATGTTTCAAGAGATATCATTCAAGAAATATACCCAGCAAGCCGTCTACTGAAGGGTTACAAGGCTCTAGAAAAGTTAAATTTCCTAATTCAAGAGGACCTTGATTTGGTATTTCCAAATTTGACAGTAGCCCTTAGAGTATTTTTAACCATGCCTCTGACAGTTGCATCTGCAGAGAGATCATTTAGCAAGCTGAAGCTCATCAAAACATACCTTCGTTCAAATATGAGCAATGATCGCTTGTCCCAGTTAGCAGTGATCTCTATTGAAAACAGTGTGGCACGGTCTATTTCATTTGATGTTATACTTGACAAATGGGCAAATGCAAAGTCACGGAATGTAACAGTTTAAATGTCATAAATGTTAAAACTCTGACATGGACTCCAGGCTGTTAAGATGTCATATTTCCGCTACATAAAATGTTGAGCACTGACTGAGTACCACTACTGTTATATATTTGTACTTTATAAAACTTCTTATTTGTTTATGATTGAAATGATCACCTGATATAATATGTAACATTAAAAAAATCTGTAATATTACTACTGTATTTTCTAAGTGCATGACTAAGCTGTATGAGGCGGCAAGTAAAAAGGAGCGGGTGGGGGGGGCGCCGATGATGTGTTCGCATCCACCTCAAAAATATGTAGTTGCGCCCCTGAGTGTCTTGATACGATAGAAAGGCGTTATATAAGTACAGTCCATTTACCAAAATTAGGAGAAGTTAAAAATGACATGGATCCACTGGTCGTTTGTGTTAAGTTATTAAAAACATCAGCCTAAATTCAATTCAATTCAAAAATACTTTATTAATCCCAGAGGGAAATTAAATGTAGTAACTCATCATCCTGGTTTCATTAATGAGTTGTTCTAGATGCTGATGGCTGTGGGCAGGAAGGATCTCTTGTAGCAGTCTGTCCTACAACGGATCTGTAGAAGCCTCTGACTGAAGACACTGTTGTTGTATGAC